ATGAGGAAACCACTGCCTAATTGTCTATCAGTCATTTCTTTTTTTTTTCTTTGTAGTTTGTATATATCCATAAATGATACACCATTGAGTTTTTCTAACTTGAGCTTTACATGAGTAAAATCATATTCTTCTGTATCTTGTTTCTTCCCCTCAACATTGTGAGCTAGAGACACAATCACGTTAGTAGTGTAGTTCATCTCCACTGATACAATAGTCCATTGTATAACTATGCCACAGTTTATCAGTTCTTTGTTAATAGCCATGAGGGCTATTGCCAGGGTAAAAAAAAAATGCTGCCAGAGACATTCTCCCACTGTACATGCCCCACTACGCATGACCAAGGGGTACATAAACACACACAAAATTCCACCCAGAAGTTAAAATGCAGAGGGATGGGTATGTGCAAATACTTTCGTACGACATACCCTTCAAAACAGTAGTAAATGAAATTCTCCACTACATCTCCAATACAACCCTTGGCATTGTTAGATACCCAGAGTTTGCAAACCTAGTGTTCTAATCCCTGGAGTTTTAACTTGCCTTTCTGCGATTACTAATGGGATCAGTTAAGCATCTTTCCATATAGTTACTGCCCATTTGCATTTCTTCTGTGAATTGTCCATTTATGCCTTCTGCTAACTTTTCTATTAATAGGTTCATCTTCCGCTTTTTAGTTGTAGTAGTTCTTTATATATTTCTAATAGTAATTCTGTCAGTTTTTTTTTTTAGTTTGGCAAATATTTCAGCTTATGACTGTCTTTTCATTCACTGAAAAGTATCTTTCAATGAAACAAAAGTTCAATGTGCATTTTGGATCATCTTTAAATAAGTCCTTCTCCACTTCAGTATCATCAAGGATCATTATTCTATTTTGTCTTCTAAAGTTTGCCTTTCACACTTACATCCTTGATCCATTTGGAATTTAGTTTTGTATGTGTACAATAGAAATTGTCAGCTCGGCGCCTATAGCTCAACCGGCTAAGGCGCCAGCCACGTATACCTAAGGTGGCAGGTTCGAATCCCCAGCCCGGACCCGCCAAACAACAATGACGGCTGCAACCAAAAAATAGCCGGGCGTTGT